ATTGCAGATGTCATGACCTTGAGAAACCTCATTAACTGATGAAGACTAGGCTCAGATAATATGTGATATAGGAAATACTCAAGAAAAAAAAATTGAAAACAGCATCACTTTAATTTTTGACTTGTCCGTCAAGTATGGGACCCATTTTCTTTAGCCCTATTCCAATTCTATTCATTAATTTGCTGATTTTCTTGAAAGACAATTTTGAATACTAAGACAATACAGTTGTGGATAAAGGCAAATCAATCCGCTGGTTGAGCTTCCTCAATAATAAAATTATATAAACCTCAACGCAATCAGCTTTCTAAAGTCAACATCTGGATTGCTAGTCTAGCAGTGGTGTGGGACTATGCTGGAAATCAGGGCTTGCTAGTCACTCACTTACGTTCTTCTTTTGTGTAGGTGGACTACTGTTCCCTTAACTGTGCCTTTTTATGCCAACCTGTCCCTCAGCATCTCCCTTCTGGAAGTAACTATTCCTTTTGAGCCAAGCCTGGGAAAAAATGGCAGAAGCCCAGTCTTAGTTCCAGCCTTACTAGTCAGGCCACCCTAGCCCCTGCCTCTTGTTCATTGCACAGAGAGAACCAGGATACAAATTTTTTTTTCTGTGCCATGGAAAGTAGGAAAAAATTAAAACAATAATTCTCTTTTTTTCAGCTCTAAACCTCCAGCCAGAAATAGCACTCTGGCAAAATACTGCAAGCTCAATTTCTTTTTCTTCCTCTCTCTCCCCCCGCCTCTCTCTTTCTCTCTCTCTCTCTCTCTCTCTCTCTCTCTCTCTCTCTCTCTCTCTCTCTCTCTCTCTCTCTCTCTCTCTCTCTCTCTCTCTCTTCCCCTCCCTCCCTTCCTAAGCCTCCCTCTCTCCCACTCCCCCCCCCAGGTATTTCTCAATCACTGCATTGAGCAATGATACACATGGACTGGCAACTTGCCCCTTAGGAAGTCACTGGCCTTATAATTTCTCTGGAGGAAGTAGAAAATGAGGAAAGAGGAATGAAAAATCATGAAGCGAGTCTCAAGAGTCCTGACCAGTTCCAGCAATGCAGTGCCTGCCCTGTATTTCTTGCGCATGATTTGATCATACCATTTCAGCCTCAGGAGTCTGGCATTGAGAAAGTTATAGATATGCAGGCTCCCTTTCAGTTCAAGAACAAATTCAAAGACAAAAGTAAATTAAGCAAGAAGTAATGAAAATGATAACGAATTATGTCACTTAAAAAAGTATTAGTAATTGGTATTTCTTATCTCAGCCCTTTAAGTTCCATACAAATTTGAATAGCTTGAAAGTTTTTTTAAGGATATTTCTAAAAGAAGCCTATACTGGCATTCATCCATTTTATAAATAGTTATCTGGTGTCATTATGTACAAGGTTATAGGAATTACAGGTTATGCAACAATGAACCAGACATGGTCTGGACCTCAAAAATTGTACAATACAGCATAGAGGAAAATACACACGCACACAACATATATATGTGTGTGTGTGTATATGTATCTATACATACATATACATGCATGTGTATATAAAATAGCAAGCAGAATATAGTCAGCTCTATATGAAAATTACAAAGTACTATGGAAGATAAGAGAGGTCATATCTGATCTCTGAGACCTAGAAGCACCATACAGTGGAAAGAATGGTGACATTGGGTTCAGAGGAACTGGGTTCAAGTCTAGCCTACAATGGTTACTACATGTGTGCCTCTGGGCAAGTCACTCAGCCTCCCTAGTATTCAGTTTCCTCAGCTATAAAAAAAAACAGGTTTGGATTAGTTGGTTTCTGAAGACCTTTCAAATTCTCGAGCTATGATCCTGTAGCTTATAATCCTAAATCCATCCTAAGTTCCAGTTGAAAGCTCTTCACAGATTTAATGATGGCTACATGTCCCCCGGCCATGCCTTTTCCAAACTAAACTTCTCCCATTCCTTCAACCAGTTCTCACAAGGCTTGCACTTAACATGCTTGACCATCTTGGCTCTTCCCTGGATTCTTTCCAGATTATCCATACCCTTCCTAATATATAACACCCATAAATGAACATGATACTCCAGATGTGGTTGAATGAGGGATATCATAGGGCAATGGGAAAATCACTTCCCTAGTCCTAGACACTGCACCTTTATGAATTTATCTTAAGATTTTTGGTTTTTTGGCTGCCAATTTTACATTGTTGATTCATATTCAGCTTGAAATTTACTAAAAAAAAAAAGATATTTATAAGACAAACTACAATCTAGGCAAGCTTCCCCCTTCCATCTTATTCTTATGAAGCTGGGTTTTTTTTAACCCAAGTATAAGACTTTGCATATTTTCCCTATTAAATTTCCTCTTCTGAGAACCACTCCAAAATCCTAGCCTTTCTAAATATCTTCACTCCTGACTTTATTATCAAGTGCATTAGCTGTCCCTCTGCATCTCATGGCCCTCGACACAAGATCTCAAATTTGAGGTGCAAATTTGATAAAGACCTCTGTCAGGATTCTCTCTATATGTTAAAACCACTGTTTCTCAAGCAGTATTCCAGGGAGCTCTGGTATTCTTTTGTGTGTGTGTGTGTGTGTGTGTGTGTGTATGTGTGTGTGTGTGTGTGTGTGTGTGTGTGAACAAAAGTTATGTGAAAATATTCCTTGGTAACAATATTTGTAGTTTAAAATGTGAAATATAGGGCAGCTAGGTGGCGCAATGGATAGAGCACTGGCCCTGGAGTCAGGAGGACCTGAGTTCAAATCCGGCCTCAGATACATAACACTCACCAGCTGTGTGACTCTGGGCAAGTCACTTAACCCCAATGGCTTCACAAAAAAAAGAAATTTTAATAAAATAAAATGTGAAATATGGAATAAGTCATGTATCAAAATACTTATGTAAGAAAAATTGAAGATATTCAAATAGGATTGGTCTCCAATATTCATTTTTAAATTTATCTCACCTTCCTTCATTTTAAGAGATGTCATACCTGCAGACTCCAAACCAGCATGGATGAGTTCTATTATTAGACGTCAAGCTCTAAAATGTTTCAAGGCTAAATTAGTTTGGGACATATTGGTCTAGATCATAAGTGAAAGTGTTAACAGTGGATTAGTTTCTTTGCTTCAAGTATTTCATCCAATAAACTTCCTGATCTTTGTAAATTTTTTTCTAAATTAGCTTTTATGGCATGTTTTTTACAATTTTTTTTTACAGTCATGGTGCTTACAGTGACCCACTTAATGGCATTTTGGAGAGTCAGCTGCTCACTGCCCATATATTCAATGCAGATTCTTGATCCAAGAGTGCTGCTATGATATTTTCATAAATTGTGAAGACATTCACTCTCCAGGAATAGTAAATTGAGTTATCCAGCTAGTTTGCATGCCAGCTTACAATATGCTGATTGACTTTCTAATGAGAGTGTGGAATGTATCCGGTTTAACACACATCATATTGTCTTCGCTTTCAACCTCCAACAAACTCAGATCAATTCGAATTTCCACAGAAAGAGAATGTTTCATTGCGTTGGCTAGAAGCAAAAACCAAAGTAAAGCCCTCCAAGTATAGTACCCCCATATGAGATATTTATAATAAATGACATAAGAAGATACTGACCTTCAAATTTCTTCATGCATATAGTAGAAAAATTTTAATCCCTACCAAATCAGCACTGATTTTAGTTCTTTAGCTTTTTAAAGCCTAAGTTATCAATAATCTGTAAAGTAGAAAAGACAAGAAACTGGCTACAAAGAGGTAAGATGTTTTGCCTAAAACAAATCATTGGAGGAACCACCAATACCTAAATCATATATGGTACCCAGTTCAGTGCTTGATCTACTCAGCAATATTATAGTTCAAAGTCGCTGTCCACATTCAAGTTCTACATTGAAAGAAAAGGAGATCTTGCCGAAAGGGAGGTTAACTCGTCTGGATCTTTCAAGATGATTAATAGCCAAGGGCTAACATTTAATTCCTTTGACCAGCATTAATCTAAATATGACCGTCAATTTTTGGTTTTATAATACACTGATTTATAATGGTTCTTTTTATATGTCATAATGGAATTCCAAAGGACATCAACTTTCAAGTGCACCGCATTAATATACAGCTAAGCCCCCATAGAGCCCCTATTATGACATGAAATCAGCTTAACTGTTGGTCAGATAATGTGCCCATATGCACACATTATACTACTAGGTACAGTCATCTTTAAACTTCTATATTTAAGCCCAGTCACACGGACTACAATGTCATTCATTCATTCAGCAATTATCTGAGTTGCCACTATATGCAAAGCACTACACTAGGTAGCAGGGTATATAAAAATGGATGAAACATGGTTCCTGTCCTCAAGTAACTAATAGATTAGATAATATATTGATGAGATGTTGTAAGGAATATAATAGGCACCACACCAATGGTTCAAACTAAGTCCTAGGACTAGGTATCAAAAAATCTGATTTTGAACCCTGGCTCTTCCACTTATAAGATGGAGCCTTGGACAAGTCACTTCAGTTGTCTGATTCTCCACTTCCATACCTGTGAAATAAGGATGATGATGTCTGCACTGCATACCACACACAGTGGTTATGCAGACGAATAAGATAGAAAAGATCAATTATTGTTTTATTAACAACTTGGAAGAAGCACTCACTTATGGCTAGGAGGGGAAGAGAAGGGAACAAGCATGTATTAAGCACTTACTTTGTGCCAGGTACTGTGCTATAAAAATAATACCTCACTTGATCCTTACAACAACCCTAGGAGGTAGCTGCTATTATTACAGATGAGGATGCTGAGGCAGACAGACATAAAGTGACTTCACCAAGATCATACAGCTAACAAGTCTCCGAAGCGGGATTTGAGCTCAGGTCTTCTGACTTCTGGCCCAGTGCTCTGTGCACTGTGCCACCTGGGGAGGAGAGTAGGAGTGCTCGCTATAGGAAGTGACTTCCTGTGCCCAAAGCAGAGCGAAACAGGTAAGGGAGACACCAGACATCTATGGAAAAAGCATAGAATGGCACCTACGAGATGAGGTGAACAGCATCCACGTGCTGCTTTATTCGTTGTCGGTATTTGGAGAATTCATGGAGCATCTGGACGGGGTCAGCCCGAATGTCAATGTAGTCCTTCTCTGTCCATGTTTCCACAGCCACCAACACCACCCTGGTATTCAGCTGCTCCTTGTAAATCTGGGAGTAAAGACAGGACAGGCACAGGAGTAGAACACTGGGTCAAACGTGCACAGCTAGCCAATCAGAGTCGGTGGAAAGACAAGACGGGTAAAGTGGGAGGGAAACATGGGGAAATCATTAGCTCAAGATATTGAGGAACAATTCCCTATTTTTATCATTTTATTTCTTCTCCAGAAGAAAATTAACTTCTACATAATAAGTTATATAAGAAGATTCTGATCTTCAAATTTCTTTATGCATACAGTAGAAAAACTTTAACTACTACCAAATCAGTACTGATTTTGATTCTGTAACTTTTTAAAGCCTAAGCTATCAATAACCTGTAAAGTAGAAAAGGACAAGAAATTGGTTTGCCTAAGACTGCATAGCCAATCACTAGAAGAACCACAAAGACCATAGGTTCTCAAAGGTATTATAGCATAGCACAAACACTAGCAGGCCCTACCAAGATGGAAGAGCTTAGATAATAAACCTGACAACACACTCTAGGCCTACTGTTTGTGAATCAGCCCAGCTAAGTTTAGAAAGGCTCAGCAAGAAGGGTGATGATTCCTTTGGCTACAAAGTCATCTGACTGAGTCATGCAAATTTGTGATAGACACTGGTACCACGGCTCTTGGAAGTTTTCAAGTATAATTCAACATTACATTACTTACTTTCCCTACTATATATCTGCTTTGTGAATAGCAGAACCACTCAGACACTGTCTGTTGTACATTCTAGAAGAAAGTTAATCCTCCAACTGTTAATGAAAATAGAGAAGTAGAAATGGGGGGAGGGAAAATTACCATACTTCAATTAGCCTGAAGTATCAATGGTTCCTCTTACTATATTTCAACAAAAGCTAATTAAATTTAAATATATTTTAAACTAGTATTATTTAGCTTCAAAATCTTATACAGTACCATGAGGAATAATTCTTAATGCAAACAATATTTTGTAAAATTAGGAAGTTTCTATACCTTGAAATATTTCATTTGAAATTCACTTGGAGGAACAAAAGGTCTAGAATCTCAGGGGAAACAGCATTTAAAGAGCTCAAATTACATGGAAGATCAGTAATCATCAAGAGTTACCAGTAAAAAAAAATAGAAAAGTAGATGAATGGAATAGACTAGATAAAGAAGAATAAGGAAAAATAAATTCAATAACTTAATGTTTGATAGATTTGAAAACATAAATTACTTGACAAAAAATTGATGTGACAAGAACACTTTGGAAAACTAGAAAACAGTCTGGAGGAAATTAGAGTTAGATTAGCATTTTACACCACATACTATAATACATTTGAAACAATCATGTGAACTCAATATTAAAAGTCATACCATAAAATAAATTAGAAGGAAACAAGATCAGGTATCTTTCACAGTTATGGTTAAAGGAAGACTTAAACAAATAAATGTTAGCAGTAATTATAAAAGATCAAATAGGTAATGCTGATTTATATGTATTTAAAAACTTTGGCATAAGCAAAATTGATACAACTAGGGCAATCGGAGGAAATTTTTGTACCAAATTTCTCAGACAAAGATTTGACATATAACAGATATATGGTATTAAAAGGTACTGTGGTTCTATGGTCATGTAAGATCAAGAGACATTCCTCAAAAGCTAAGTGTTAAAAGGATATAAACAAATTATCCTCAAAAGAAGAATTGTATACTATTAAAAACCATTTGAAAGATTGCTCCAGATCAGTAATAATAAAAGAAATGTAATTCAAAACAACTGTGAGATTTTACCTCATACCCTACAAACTGGCAAAGATGGGAAAAGTCAAAGTTGGAGAATCTGTGGAAAAAGAGGCACACTAATACACTATTGGTGGAGCTACTCATTGGTCCAAAAGTTTTAAAAAGCAATTCAGAATAGTGCTAAGATGACCAAAATGTTCATACCTTTTGTTGCAGAGGTCCCACTGCTAGATACATAACCAAGGATGTCAAAGACAGAAAGAAAGGCCCAATATGCACTAAAATATTTATAGCAGCATTGTAACAGCAAAGAAGTAGAAACAAGATAGAGGCCCATCAATTGTGGAATAACTAAGCAAATTGTGCCATGTGAATGTAACAGAATAGTAACTATTCCTTAACCAAAAAAAGGAAGGGGATGTGAAGAATACAAAGAACTGATGAAAAATAAAGCAGAATTACAAAAACAATATACACAATGATTAAGACAATATAAATAGAAACAAACAATGTAATTACAACGGAAAAAATCTAAAAAAAAAGAAAAAAACAAGTCCCCCTTCTTTTTTTGCAGGAGTTGAGGAATTATGGGAGTGAAACAATGACTATACTGTCAGACTTCATTGATGTGTTATTTAATTTTGCTGCATTTGTTTTCCCTCTTTTTTGTTTTCTGTTTCAGCAGTGGCTCTCTAGGTAGGAAAATGAGGATAGAAGAATATATTTGTAAATGAAAAGTGTTGTAAAAACAGAAGAGTACAATTTTTAAAAAGAGGAAGGTTTAGTTTTTCATTCTGTAAAATAAAACTAATTATGCAGAAATATTAACAAATATCCCTTTCCAAAAAATAATCATTTTTTCATCATAACTTCAAAGTAAAAAAATGTTCATCCATCATCTTATGCAATTAATTTCAACAATAAAAAAGTTAGTTTTTTACTACAAAAACTAACAGGACAGCTAGGTGGCACAGTGGATAGAATGCTGGGCCTGGAGTCAGGAAGATGAATGTTCCTGAGTTCAAATCCAGCCTCAGACACTTGTTAGCTGTGTGACCCTGGGCAAGTCACTTACCCCTGTTTTCTTTATCTGTAAAAAAAAAAATCGAGCTGTAGAAGAAAATGGCAAACTACTCCAGTATCTTTGCCAAGAAAACACCAAATGGGGTCATGAAGAGTCAGGCACAAATGAAACACCTGAACAACAGCAACAAAGGAAAACTAACAAGAATTAAAATTAAATGAATTCATCAAACCAGCTGTGTCTTTAATCAAAACTCTCAGAGTTTCAATCCCACCTTTACATAACATTTTAAATTCTTACATGCAACTTAAAAATAGATTTTTTTTCCCATCAGAACTTTCAACTCCACTTTGTTTTCTATACATACTATTAGGGTTAGATACTCTGTCCTTAAATGCTGCCATTTAATATTATTTATTAGAGTTTGATGCTCAAATTACAGGGATTTTGTGGTTGAAAAATCATTTGAAGGTGAGGGAAAAGGAAGATATTCCCCCTATTGCTGACAGTTATGTTTATCTAATGCATTTCCTATGCATTCAAATTCTACTTTTGGAATGTAATACTACCTGTAGGCTTTCTGAAATAATCTAGCTTGATTTAACCTAGCTTTTAGGCAATGATCCATCTCCAAAATTACTCTATGAACAACCAAATAACTTCTTTACCTACTACGTCAGGAACTTTTCAGTTTTGAACACAGTACATTTTGGGAAACTACAAAAAGTGTTCCTGTTATACCTTGTTCTCAGCTGATGCAACATGAAACAAAATTGTCATCAAAAACCCTTTCACCGCCATAAGAATGGGTTCAAGACAAATGTTGATACTTACAGAATCCACGAGGTTGACCACAGACTTGGCAAAGTTGTTGGTATGTGCATGAGAACGGTATTTCTTGTACTGAAATAAAAAATAAATAATAACTAAAATCTAAAGAGTGTTAAAATAATACTACTCAGTTTTCAGGTTCCCTTTAATAAAGCAATCATCTATGTAAGCATTTTGCAAACTTTAAAGATATGTATAGATATATATCTATATCTATATCTATAGATATAGATATAGATATATATCTACCTATTTATCCATCTACCTATCTGTCTATATATACACACATATACTAGGCACCATTAATATATAGTGTAAATCTAGAATTCCAACTGTGGTTTGTGTTGATAGTAAATACTTTGATATTCTACCTGTCACATACTCATTTTTATATTCTACTTCCTTGTTGGACGTAAAGCCCGTTTGACAGAGTAAAAATATTTAGCTGAAGGCTCAATTTCTTTCATTATTATTATTATTAAATACATGTTGTTCTCTTGCTTTGACATCACCTCAACTTCCTTCTGCATGCCAAGTGTATTTGTTCTCTTGACTTTCACATGAGAAGGATTCTGACCACAGCATCCCTGCTGTCCCAAAAGTCTTATTGTCTTTCTAACCTATTAAGGTTTAAAACTGCACTAAGACTTTTGAGACATCCTGTATATGTGAGCATGCAACATGCTACAGAGAATATATAAATATCTATATATTAATATATAGTTATATGTTATATATAATTACATATTACACAATAAGTTTTTAAAACCTGTTTCAAACATGTATTTTAGGGAAGGAAGGAATCAAGAATTTATTAGGTACCTATTATATGCCAGGCACTTTACAAATATTATCTCAGTTGATTGAAGAAATATACTTAAATCAGTATTATTTCATTTTTTTTAAGGGAATTGGGGTTAAGTGACTTGCCCAGGGTCACACAGCTAGTAAGTGTCAAGTTTTTGGTCTGATGTTGGATTTGAACTCAGGTCCTCCTGACTTCAGGGCCAGGTGCTTTAACCACTGCGCCATCTAGCTGCCCCTATCAGTATCATTTCATAAAGAAACTATGGGAAGAAGTGCTGATTACAGCTTATTAGAAGAGGTCTATCATTTATTTTGCAGGTGACTTTAATTTTAACAAATATCCAAATATCTGCTACATGTGAGGGCCTTTTTTATACATTCTTGACTATGAAGCTGTAAGAAATAGTATTAGCAAATTGCTATTCCTCCACAGGTGGGTGCTCATTATGATTCTACAAATCGTCATACAGAAGAGGCTATGAAAAATCTAAACTGCAGCTTGTACATCTTATAAGATTGGGTGCATTATTTCACTTGTACAATAAGTCAAACACTAGTTCTTAGAATGATTTTTTCAATAATAAAAGGGTTCCTAAGTCTTTTAAATTTTAGGTCTGTTAAAGCTTAAATTTGGCTTTGCTCATGTACAGGATGTAGGGCAAACTTTCTAATAAAGAAACAGTACCATTTTTTTTTCTTATCCAAATGAGTTTCCCTTACTACATGAAGAACATTTAGATGTCTCAACAATAAATAAGGAAGGTCCCTCCCGTTACCTGAAGACAAGATTAAACTTTTCTTCCAAGTCCTTGGTCCAATCAGCTGCCCGGAAAGTTTGCTGTTGCTAGAAACATCTGATCTGGGTATGTAGTCCATTTATTTTTAAGATTCCTCTTAAAATCAAACCCTTCCCCTCTCCTTATATCTTGCATTCAATAGGAAAAAATGATAAAGTCATAATCTTCAGGAACTCCTGAGCCAAAATTCATTTTTCACACCACTGCGAAAGGGGTTAGGGGAAGGGAGATTTCAGTAATTAACTCTCACTCTCATCCCTACTAAACTCAGATTGTGAAAAATCTGAGCATCCTCACAAACATGCACATACACACTGCTACACAGCACGGCATGAAGATTTATGGAGTCTTATTTATTTGTTACATTTGGAAGACAGACTAATGAAATCTGTCACCCTGGTCATCAGAACCATAACATGACAGAAGTGCATAAAAGCTCAAAAACGCTTTGCCTGGGGGGAGAGAACTGCCTTTCGAAGATATACTTCTATCCCTTAATGAGCTCTTACTGGCAAAATACTAAACTCCAACCATCCTTCATCACCCCTCCCCCTCAATAGTTCTTTTAAGGCAGCACGGATCATCACAGTGAATGTGGCATGTTTTCTAAACCCCACACCCCTAATTTCTAAATGCAGAGTTGGCTACAAATGAGTTTCAATGGTAAGGATTGTGCTTTCACCCCTCAATAAATTCTGAAAGCCATTCACAAGTACATTTAGGAACTCCTCACAAGAATCAATCACCAAGAAATTAGCAAGTAACTAGTTGTGCCTGAGCATACAAAGACAAAAGTCAATTGGTCTTTGTTCCAAACCTTGTGACCAAGGTTAACAAACTTAATTGCATTAAGCCTCAGTTTCCTCACCTATAAAATGGAAATAACCATACCTATAGTTCCTACTTCACAGAGTTAGAGTGAACAACAAATGAGAAAAGGTATGTAAAGTGCCATATGTTTGAGCTGTTATCAAAGCAGCTAGGTGGCACAGTGACTAGAAGGTCAGACTTGGACTCAGGAAGACCTGAGTTCAAATCTCGCCTGAGACATTTATTAGTTGTGTGACCCTAGGCAAGTCATCTAATCTCTTTCAGCCTGATTTCTCTGATCTGTAAAATGGCATAATAATAGCACTTACCTCACAGGGATGTTGTCAGGATCAAATAAGATAATAAATCTAACGGGCTTTGCTAAGCTGAAAACACCATGTAAATATGAGCTCTTATTATTATCATAATATGGATAGTACTGCGGACTCAGACATAGAATGCATTTGACAATAATTTTAGCATATTTTTTCAAAGAATCATTTTGCTTTTGAAGTAAGACGAATGATGACCACACTATTTGATCACACGACACTAAAGATGACCACAATATAGAAAATTTAAAGCGATAAAGTAACCAGGATGATTTAGCTAAAAATAGGGTGTTCCATTGGCAAAATTAAAATAATGAAAAGAAAAGTAAGAAAAATAATATTATATCTTGTGGGATCTAAAAGGAAAGTAATTTAATTTGAGCACTGTTAAAAGAGCTCAAATTCCAGAATTTCTTAAAAAATAGAATTGTCATAGGAAGAATCTGCCCTCTACTGGTTGTTGACAACTTTTCTTTCTTTGTTCCTTCCTTATTTCAGAAGGGGAACAAATAAAATGCATACAAAACTAGATCATTTATTTTGATGGGTAATCCTTTGGTGACAGCCTCCATTCACAACTAAACCAAAGGCACTTTGATAGCGCCATGATTGCATGAGTGTAGGGATGAGTCTTCTCCGACCAAAGATGATTAGGATGTATTAGTCAAAGAAGAGATGGTTCACTTTTCTTTCACATGGCTACTTTCTACAACAAATGTAAATAATAAACACTGGTTTCAAGAACAATTCTTGCTCTCTTCACAATTGTGTAACCTTTTCTCTTCTTGTTTTATACATACCTAGAATTTTCATCACAAAACACACCAGCTCCTGTTCTGTGCTTTTGCACTGGCCATCTCCCATACCTGGAATGCTCTCCCTCTTCACTTAGGCCTTTTAGTTCCCTGGCTTTCTGCTGGAGCCATCTCACTTTCTCCAGGAGGTCTTTCAAGTCCCTACAACTACCTTTCCCTCTGAGTTACATACTATCTATTTTGCATATATCTTAAATGCATGATATTATTTCCATGTTGTCTCCTCTATCAGAAACTCCGTGAGGACAGGAAGTGTTTTTGCTTTTTTTTTTTTGTACTCCTAGGCTTACCACAGTACCTGACACACAGTAAACACTTAATAAGTGCTTATTGACTGAAGTTAATACAACACGATAGAAATAACAAATACCTGTAGTCTCCAAATGGCCCTTGTTACAATAAATGTATGCAGCCTAGAAACTAGATTCCATTCCCTCTTATCTACTTCTAGGACCTGACTCAATTAATCATCACCTCTCTATCAGCGCTTTCTCATAACAGATCATAGATTTAGACCTTAGAGACCATCTCATTCAAACCCTTCTTTTTACAGACAAGGAAACTGAGGCCCAAAGAGGTAAAGTGATTTGCCAAGGTTACACAAGTAGTAAACACCAAGAGCAGGATTTGAACCTAGGTTGTCTGACTTCAGAGTCAGTACTTTTATCATTATACCACACTGTCTCCCTATGATACCACACTGCCTCTCATGGGTACCACACTGCTCCCTATGGTACCACACTAGTTCTCATGCCTCTCCAATCCTATGAAAACTTCCAAGCTACTATCTCCTCTCTCTCCTCCCCTTCACTGTTTAGCTTCTTGAAAAAGTTATCCATACCCAAAGTCTCACTACCACTTCTTCCTTACTATTCATTCTTTCCTTTAGCCTCTTGAAACCAGTCTTTCATTCCTACCACTCCAATGAAACTGTTTCCACAAATGACATCCTAGTCAAGAAATACAATGGCCTTTTTCCAGTCCTCATTTTAGATCTCCCTGATTTCCTCTCAATTCTTGACCCTGTCTCAAAATTTCTATTAGATCTCTTTACTTCCTTGAACTCTCATATCTGTGCTTTCTGTTATATGCCAATATTCATTGAACATTTCACATTTATGATTCCAAATATTACCTCTGTTTTAAAGTACTTCCAAGGTCATCTTGACTCCTAAGAAGATGAAAAGCAGAAAACTATCTTTCCAAAAACAGCCAGCCCTACCCATGTTTACTTAATTACTTAACTTTGTTTTACATTGGTTTCCTTCTCATTCTCTTGAATATGTGGCCTCTTTGATAAATATATTTTATGTATATGTTTTAACACCAAGCACACTGTAGATATTAAAAAGTAAACTGTTTTTGTTCATGGAATCAATGATAATAATACTCTGTTCATAATATTGTGGTAATTATTGGTTCTAGATATAACTTAATTGTTAATATTATTCAATGTTACATTGCTTTACGTATCTCGACACAAAAAAATGGCTTTTATCTCGTTACAGTGG